TCAGGAATGGAGTACTTGTCAAGGAAGAAGTTTGTTCACAGAGATCTTGCAGCAAGAAATATATTAGTATCAGATGAAGGAACAGGAATATGCAAGGTAAGAGATTAGTACTAACAATTGGACTTTATATAGTATGGTCTCAGATTGCTGACTTTGGTATGTCACGGGATCTAAAAGATGAATCTTATTATATTTCACAAGCAAAAAAGATTCCAATAAAATGGACAGCACCAGAAGTAATTAGAAAGTATATAATTAGAATATTGAATTGTGTATGTATAGGCATTACATTATAAGAAATATTCGAGTGCTAGTGATGTGTGGAGTTATGGAGCTCTAATGTATGAAATTTGGTCTTTAGGACATAAACCATTTGAAAACTCTACTAATCAAGAGGTATAACATTAATATTATACTTTTTAAATTTTATTTAATTTTACTAATTTTAGTGCATTAGACTGGTTGATTCAGGCTATAGATTACCACCTCCTCCAGGATGTCCTAAACCAATGTATAAACTAATGATGCAATGCTGGTATGTATTTATTATTAGTGCTATACTGCATAATGGGAAATGTACACTATTGTAACACTAGCACAAATATTGACCTTTTGTGTCAAATTACTAATATCCATAATGACATTATATACCAATGCACTATACACAGTGGAGTGAGTGTACATCCTAATAATGTGAACTGAGTGGATTATTATAATCATACACAACCACCACATGCTTTCATGCACACCCACACAAAATTAGTATATGTAATAGTGATGTCATGATTGTATTGTAAAGGAATCCTGATACTCATGATCGTCCAAGTTTCTCAGATATATCATCAAGTCTATCCTCACCTGATAAACAATTACTAATGATTAATAAAGAGGATCCTGTTACTGTACTGGGCGGAGCTTTAGAAACAAGCCACTCCCTCTACACTGACTTACAGTACATGTACAAGAACTGATTGATTGTGTAGCCAGTTTATAAACCTGTACATTGTGTTTAATGGCTTGTTTTCTGTATATTAATATTATTAGTTGTATGTTGCTGCATTTTTATTTGCTACAATGCATTCTATAGTTAATGATGATATTGTAAAGCCATCCTTTCTTATGTGTACTTTGAATGGAATTGGTTCCATTTATAAATTAATTATAAATTATTAATATATAGTCCAGAATAAAACTGCTGTGTTTATTCTTTATTGCAATTAATACTCACTATAGTACATGAATATACTCAAAGATGAATTGTACATCATAATGTACAGAATCTTTATACATTAATAAACAGTACACATGATCCCTTTAAAGCTAATAATTGAATCACAATATTAATGAGTGGACCCTCAATATGTACTGCTCACTATAGTCTAGCTATTGAAAAGTTATTTCAAGGTGGGGCAGTTATGAATATGATGTTATACTGAAAACCAACAATGCAAGTAACAGTCAAGATGTGTCCTTCTCCTCTCTCTCTCCTTTCTTTATTGTTGTTATTGTTAAATGGTACAGTACAGTCTAATGATTGTAGTATTGAAGGATTTATGGAACCAAGTTTACTAGAGGCTAAAACTGGCAATACTAACAACAATGAACAAACTACTGCAGGACTAGCAGAATCAGTAGAAACAAGATGGATCATCACTGAAAGAGATAAGAATTTCACTGGCTGTAGTTCTACACTGACTGAAGTATTAGTTGGAGTTGACATTAGAACTGAAACTGGTAATAGAACTGAATATCCTAGAATAGAGATATGGGGAGAAACAGGAGGTCATTATAGAGACCCAATATCTGTTGAACTTAGACTATCTCCACACAATTTCACTACAAATGGACTGTATCGTGTTACACTACCTACTCCTTTGAACATTAGTGAGCTGAGAGGTAATGGTACCAGAGGTTACAGACTAGGAGTATATCAACCTCCTGATGATAGAAGTGTTGTTAGATTTTATAAAGTAACTGGAACTGGTCAAATTGGTCTATTGTGGCTATTCTAATTTTGAGACTTCATTTAATACAAACAGTCTATCAGTTACTAATATAATACCAGTCAATGATACAAGAGCTTTTCCTGATATACAGTTCACATGTAATGGTATTATTACTAACTGGATAATTGGTATTACACAGAATCAGACTACAAGCAAACATTATCCTAACATTTATTTAAAACGTTCTTCTGAACTGATTCATGCACTAACTGTTGATGCTTCTGCTGCTACATCAAGTAATGGTAATGTATATCTCTTTACAAGTGATATTGAAGTAGAGTATGGAGATATATTAGTAATCAATGTAACCACTAATAGTAATCCAATGTATTATCAACAATACAATGGACCATTGAATTATGAGCTTGATAGCAGTAATGGATTAATACCATTGGAACATAATGACTATCCACTGATATCAGTTGTAGTAGGTAAGAACTATAATAGTATATACATGAACTGTGTTTGTTCTCTTCTGATACAGTCAGTGTTCCAGCATCATTAACAACAGATACAATGATACCTTGCACAACAAGTACCAGCAGTACCACAAGTAAGACTACACTATCATGATGATGTTATTTACAAATACACACCTCCACTGCATGCACAGTTCCAGGAACACCAGCTGCTACTAGAAGTACAGTCATTTCTTCCATGAGTGGCTTATCAATTACTACTAACATAAATACTCTTCTTGTCTCATCAGGTAGCTATGCATTCACAGCTGTTATAACAACGGAATCAATGAAATCAAC